TTTTTTTTTTTTTTTTTTTTTTTTTGAGACGGAGTTTCACTCTTATTACCCAGGTTGGAGTGCAATGGCGCGATCTCGGCTCACCGCAACCTCCGCCTCCTGGGTTCAGGCAATTCTCCTGCCTCAACCTCCTCAGTAGCTGGGATTACAGGCACGCGCCACCATGCCCAGCTAATGTTTTTGTATTTTTAGTAGAGACGGGGTTTCACCATGTTGACCAGGATGGTCTCGATCTCTTGGCCTCGTGATCCACCCGCCTCGGCCTCCCAAAGTGCTGGGATTACAGGCTTGAGCCACCGCGCCCGGCTGGATATGTGTTTCTAAACAGTTTTCCTAACCAACATCTGCTTTCTTGTGTAAAAATTATTTACATATACTTTAGGAAGGAACCAGAGTTTGGAGGAACAGCCAGCCCCGGCATGTATTTGCTGTCTATTATTTGTCAGGTGCCAAGGTGAATGGCAGATACTGTTTCTGTCCTTAAATTTGATGTTAATTGGGAAGACATTGCCATCAGCTGAATAACTGTAAATAAGTAAATGACTGCAAATGTGTAAACTGCTACAAAGGAGAAGGTGATTTTGGTTTTGGTTTTGGTTTTGAAGACAGGGTCTCTCCCTCTGTCACCCAGGCTGGAGCGCAGTGATATGATCACCACTCATTGAAGCCTCAACCTCCCAGGCTCAAGTGGGTCTTCCTCTCTCAGCCTCCCAAGTAGCTGTGACTTCAGATGTGCACCACTGTGCCTGGCTTTTTGTTTTGTTTTATTTTCTGCAGAGGCAAGGTCTCACTATGTTGCCCAGGCTGGTCTTGAATTCCTGGACTCAAGCCATCTTCCCACCTCAGTTTCCCAAAGTGTTGGGATTACAGGTGTGAGTCACCCGGCCCAGTCCTAAGAAGTACTTAAGGAATGAGAGTCTATGAAATATTCTCTAGAATAGTAAGAAAGTGCCTAAGAAGTGTTTTGGATGTGGAGTAAGAGGAGGAGTATTCCTGATACTGTAATTAAAGGTTTTTTTTTAGAAGAAGTTGTTTTTGGTACTGTCTCCATTTCATAAATGATGGTGAATTAATGTGTATTTAGTTTTGTGAGGCCGTTGATAATTTAGAACTGAAAAGAGTTTTGAATTCTTATTTCTGCAAGATATAATTAGTCTCTTAAGCTAATTTTTAAAGTACATTCACATTATATTTAAATGGATATCATAGTTGCCCTTGTATTTTTCAGTGTATGAAATATCTGTAGTTTAGATCTATGTTCATCAATAGGAATTTGTCTTTTAGCATTTTCCTCATTTCCTTAGTATTTTTCTCACTAATTTTGATATTCCAGCCTGAGGCACTTAACTAGACCACAAACAGACGTTTGCTTCTTTACAAATGGCACCACATTTTATGTTTAAGGAGTAGAGATGTCAAAAGTATGCTTGTTTTTAATATAAGAAAGAAAAATTTTGAGGAGTTTTTGCTGGCCTCACAAAATAACACATTTGTTGATAATTGGTGAATCTGCTTGTTTATAGCCTCCTGGTAAAACTGATGTGGGACTCTTTTTTTTTTTTTTTTTTCCTCCATGCTGTTCTTACTTTTCAATCATTTTTTAAGTAAGTCCATTTTATAGCAAAACAGACCATATAACCAAGCTTGTCTGGGCTTTTCTAAAGCAAGAAAAGCAACGTGACACAAACACACCTCTGGTAGAACTTCTAGAACTGGAGACTGAGGCAACAGGCACTGGACCAAAAGTAAGCTCCACGATTCTCCCCTCTGCAGAGCGTGGTGATGGTGGTCTTCAGTGAAGACAAGAACAGAGACGAACAGCTCAAATACTGGAAATACTGGCACTCTCGGCAGCACACAGCGAAGCAGAGGGTCCTTGACATTGGTAAGTTGACCTTGACTTCCCTGCATAGTCCTCAATAGACTGACATGTTGTCTTGATGCCAAGGGGAGCCCGGCACGGTAATCACAGCTGAGCCATAGAGCTCTTGTGATGTGCCAGGCACTAGTCTATGCACCTGTCCTGTGTCAAGACATTAAGTGCTGATCAGACTGAGTAACCAAAACCAGGCTGAGAGCAAAGAGTTTTCTATTCTGTGACAGTCAACTGTGTCTCATAAAATCATAGTCATATATTTAGATTTGCAATGACCATTTCAGTTTCTAAAACGTGTTTTCATGGCCTCCCCTTTTGAGCCTAATAGGCAGTCAGCAGGTCAGGTGAACCCTTATCCCTGTGACATAAATAAACTCAGGCTTATATGACCCTAGGGCATTTGGCAAAGGTCACATGTCTACACAGTGAGTTTCTAGTTCTCTGTCATGTGTTCTTTCCGTTTCAACACATGCCTAGTGTAAGCAATGCTAGGTTATCAGGCAAGTGAACCATTTAAAGAAGGAGTGAATCTACCAGGAATCTGTATACCCTTAAACATGAAGTCCATTCTGTAGAGATCAGCAGCCCCCTGGATGGCACATCACTCAGGGTCTAGTCTGGAAGGCAACACCCATGCCCAATAATTCACTGGGCACGAACTCATTGCCAAGGTTGGAAAGGCTGAAGGCACAGTGAGGCAATCCAGCTATTACCTGCAGGGCTGGAGAATCAAAGGGAGGAGGAGGAGGTGGGTGTTGGAGAAGCCACCCAGCAGGAGCCGGGACCACAGAGGGAGCCGCTTTCCAACGGGAGATGAAAGCACAGCAGAATTGCTGCCAGACACATTCTCAATGCCAAGAGGGAGGAGGAGAAATGTCCTGGATTCTCTCTGCTTCCCGATCTCCTGCCAGTGCCTCCCATTGTGCCTCCCATTGACAGAATTTGACTCAGAGTCAGAGGGCACATTACCCTGGAAAGTACAGTTTGTAGAATCAACCTCTGAGATGCAGAGCATAATAGGGGATGTCAGGGAATGGATCTTAAAGCTTCCAAAAATCACTTAAAAGCAGACAGTAATGTATGTGTTTCCATATAATTTTAACACTTTCCATAAGAAGTCATTTCTCATTTATAGACTTTATTACCCCATTTTGCTGACTAAGATGCTGCAGTCCAGGTGAGTGTGGGCTAAGTGAAGGTTCCCATCATCTTGGGTGTGACAAGGTATTACTGAGACTTGCAAAGGATGATTACTTTGATTTCTTATACACTGCAATGAGGATTTTTCAGGACTTCCATTTTACCCTGGCTCGGACTCCTTGACCACAGTGGCAGAGTTTAGTGACTAGGTTAGGGTCAGAGACTCACCATAGAAGATAATGAGACTAGTTACTGGTTTTCATTGGAAAATAGTTAAGCCACATCTCACCCCTGCATCACATACATACACCCTTTGTATTAACTAGTCAAACATATTTATCGAATAAACAAGGAAACAGGCCTAGGAAGGCTCACTGACTCCCCCTCAGATAATTCGTGCAAGAGGTGGGATAAGATCTGTCTTGCCGACCCGAGTTGATAAACTAAACCAAGACCTGGTGACTAGAACAGGGGTTGGGGATACTTGCCTTAACCTGTTTAGTTAAATCTGCATAGAGCAGAGGAACAATTTTATTTTATTTGAAAAGTTAGCCTTATAATTATTACCCAAGAAAATGAAAGGAGCAATTAAAGAGAAATATGGACTAGGTCCAAATAAGGCAAATAATAAAAGCATTTTACTGGCATACCTGTTGATCCAACTTTGCTATTGTTGCAGGGTTTACTTTTCTGAGACTGGCATGATTTCTCAGATCTTGTGAGACTTCAGATCTTCTCTTCTTTATCGTCTCTTGCCTGCCTTCAGGCTTTTCTTTCTGTATACACATGTGTCCCCATAGGCACACACATGCTTTATCTCTGAGATTTGTGATATTTACTAAGTAGCTTCATGGCTAACTTGGCTACTTGCCTTCCAACCTGAGAACAAGGCATTAAATCCACCACTTAGTTTCAATGAAACATACGTTTTCTGAGCACAGTCTCTACCCTAACCTCAACCTGACATCTGCTCACACAGAGTGAGAAAATATGCAAAAATCTCATATAATTCATTCTTCTACTAGATTAAAAAAAATCAACTCATGTATTTCTCTGCTAGTGGGTTGTAAATACCATTTCCCATGTAAAGGAGCACTGATGGTGTCTTGGCACGTATGTCTGCCTGTCATGCCATCATCTGCTTTAACTCTGGAGTATGATGCTGAGAAAGTTTCTGGGGTCGCCCCTTGTCTCCACCAGGAGTATCATGAAGGGTTATGGGTGCCTGCAGAAGGTGAAGGAAGGCAGAGAGTACGTCAGCCATACATTTGCCAGTTTGGGTTATGAACCTTCTAATGGCCTAAAAATTCAAAAAAATAAAAAAGTACCCGGAATTATTTAATGCATTTCTTTTTCAAAACCTCTGTGAAGCTGGAGGTTAAAGTCAGGGCTGAAAAGTCACAGTTCTCAAATCTCCACCAGCATCTGTGGTCTGCAGATTCAACCACGCTAGCCAGGCAGTGACCCTGAAGCTGGAGCTAGAGACAGAGATGAGGCCCCCTTAGCTAAGCAAGGATTCTTTCTTTAAATGGATACATAATAATTATACATACTCATGGAGTGCCTGTGATATTTTGATATAGGCATACAATATGCAATGATCAAATCAGGGCATTTAGGATATCTATCGCCTCAGACATTTACCAATTCTTTGTGTTCAGAATATCCCAAATCTTCTAGCTATTTTAAAATATATAATCAATTATTGCTACTTATAGTCACGCAACTCTGCTATTGAATTCTGGAACTTATTCCTGCTATCGAACTGTATGCCCATTAACTGACCTCTCTTCATCCCACCCTTCCCGTCTCCCTTCCCAGCCATGCTGACCTCAAGTGACCCACCTGCCTTGGCCTCCCAAAGTGCTGGGATTGCAGGCGAGAGCCACTGGGCCTGGCCAAAACAACTCATTTTCTTGTTTAAAAGCCAAGATGCTAAGAGGGGAGAATTTTACCCAAGGTCACACACCTGATAAGTGGTATGGAGGTGGGATAGAAACCCAAGAATGCCAGAATGTGCACTGTTTTTTAAAAGCAGTCATTGTCATTGGTCATTAGAGAAATACAAATCAAAACCGCAGTGAGATACCATCTCACGCCAGTTAGAATGGGAATCGTTAAAAAATCAGGAGACAACAGATGCTGGAGAGGGTGTGGAGAAATAGGAGCGCTTTTACGCTGTTGGTGGGAGTGTAAATTAATTCAACCATTGTGGAAGACAGTGTGGCGATTCCTCAAGGACCTAGAAAAAGAAATACCATTTGACCCAGCAATCCCATTACTGGGCATATGCCCAAAGGATTATAAGTCATTCTATTATAAAGACACATGCACACATATGTTTATTATGTCACTGTTCACAATAGCAAAGACTTGGAACCAACCCAAATGCCCATCAATGATAGACTGGATAAGGAAAATATGGCACATATATACCATGGAATACTATGCAGCTATAAAAAAGGATGAGTTCATGTCCTTTGCAGGGACATGGGTAAATCTGGAGACCATCATTCTCAGCAAACTGACACAAGAACAGAAAACCAAACACCACATGTTCTCACTCATAAGTGGGTGTTGAGCAATGAGAACGCATAGACAGAGAGGGAAACATCACACACTGGGGCCTGACAGGGGATGGGGGGCTAGAGGAGGGATATCAGGGGGTGGGGGAATAGGGGAGGGTTAGCATTAGGAGAAATACTTAATGTAGATGACGGGGTGATGGATGCAGCAAACCACCATGACACGTGTATACCTATGTAACAAACCTGCACCTCCTGCACATGTACCCCAGAACTTAAAGTATAATAAACAAACACAATTATTTGAAGTCCTCTCTTCACCATATACCACCTCTGCATTCCAGCTCCTAGCCAGTTCTTGGCACCCACCAGGACCTGACTACATGGAGACTGTCTGCTTCACAAACATCCTGATTCTTCTGTCTGTGGCTTGCTCTCCAGACATGAAGAACGTTTTGCAGTCGGGTGGTGGACCTCTTGGCTGCTGCTAGTTCTGACATTGGTGAAAGCCAGTTTGATGTGCAGTTCTTGTATATTAGGCCATAAACTGTTTGGCAGGAGCTGGAGACAGGGGAAGAAAATATTAGCAATGAGCTCTAACTTGATATAAGTAAACCAAATAAACCCAGGCCCAAGGGGATCCTGCTGCTTTTCAAAACACGTAAGTAAAGTTGTCTAAGTCTCACAAGTTCATTCATGTGAGCTCCTTGAATAACAGCAAGTATTCAAGGTCATAAATAAGTTGACATTCTGTGGTTCCAGGAGCGTTCTTATGCCAGTTGTACCTCCTGTGTGGATTTGCTACATAAATGACATTTGCAGGTTGATTTTCTTTGAGTTAGAAAGCTTCTTTAAAAGAAGGCATGGAGTTAGTGACGGGTTGGTTAACACCGACTTAAGGAAAAGCATAGTTATTCCACATTCATTCTGCAAACATTTACAGAGCACCTTCTATGTGCCAGACCCTTTGTTAGCCACTGGCAATACAAGTGTAATTAAGGCAGAGCCCTGTACTCAGACTGCTCAAGATGAGGGGCAAGAAGATGACTAACTAAAATATCACATGGTAAGCGGCAGCATAGAAGAGCGCTTCCCAGAGAAGCTTCTGAGACTCATCTGAAAAGATAACTAGGGCATGTGAGGTCAAAAAGGTAGGGAAAGGTGCTATCACTCGTGCAATAGTACATTCACAGGTACAGTAATCAAGACAAAAAAAGTGTGACTGAGGCCAGGTGTGGTGGCTCACGCCTGTAATCCCAGCACTTTGGGAGGCCGAGGCTGCGGATGATGAGGTCAGGAGTTGAAGACCAGCCTGGCAAACATGGTGAAACCCCAGCTTTACCAAAAATACAAAGATTAGCTGGGCGTGGTGGCAGGCACCTATAATCCCAGCCACTTGGGAGACTGAGGCAGGAGAATCCCTTGAACTCGAGAGGTGGAGGTTGCAGTGAGCCAGTGGCGTGATCTTGGTTCACGGCAACCTCCACCTCTTGGGTTCAAGGGATTTTCCTGCCTCAGCCTGGGCAACAGAGAGAGACTCTGTCTCAAAAAAAAAAAAAAAAAG